CAGCATTATGACGGAAGAGTGCCATCAGCCTTTATAAAAGGGTGGGGTGCTGAATCTCTAACCAAAAGGCTTTTCTTCCAGCTGTAAAGCATTTTTGTTAAACAGATGTCAACAAAAACAAACTAAAAATCTCTTGCCCGCTCAACCAACTTTCATTTTGTCGCTATCCATCATAAACCCATTAATTTGCCAGGCAAAGACAGGGTGAATAAGACATGGATTTCTAACACCTGCAAAAATATATAATTTTTTTTCTTTTTAAAACTCCTTCATTGATCATAAGTTAGCAACCACCTTTAATGCATGAGCCAGTGCCAGGACAGCTCCTCTTCTCGGTACAATTAATGACCCATCTCTGAAGGAAACATGCTCCCCCTCCTTTGTGATTATTTACTAACCTCGGCTCTGACAGCAGGAGCTGAGCTCCAAAGACCTTTGGGATCAGGGATGAAAAAAGCTTCCCGTTACGAACCCCAGGAAAGAAAACTTGTTCAATTCCTCTTCGCACCATAAAGCTGGTTGTTTGATTTAAACAACAGTCATTTAAAACCTGAACTGTCATGTGCAGTATATTTTGATGGATACAGGTTGTTTCTGAGTTGGTCTGACAGCAAGCAGACTAAGGGCCTGTCTACACTTACAGCACTGCCGTGGTGCAAGCTGCATGGGTGTAGATGTGCCGCTGTAGGTCTTAGCAAAGACGCTACTTCCCCCGATGGGAGACCTTCTCCCATCGGCATAGATTCTCCACCTCCCCGAGAGGTAGTAGCCACATGGACGGGAGAAGCCCTCCCATTAACATAGCGCTGTCTACACCAGAGGCTGGTTCACTACAACTGCGTCACTCAGGGGCACGGATTTTCCACATCCCTGAGTGACGTAGTTCTACTGCCATCAGGCTGTAGTGTAAACCCAGCCTAACTACTTGCAAGGAGCAATCAATGGAGGCAGTTTAAGAGCTGGAACCTGAAGAATAGTTACAATCCCAGAAGCTACAGCCTCAGATCCAGTCCAACTGCCACTCCTCTAAAGTGTCCAGGGTTAATTGAAATGAGTGGCACTGGCTCTAGAGTAGGCTTTCAGAGCACAATGCAAGTTAGCCACTCACATGAGCCCCACAGATAGAGCCCCACGTGTAGCATTAACAATTTCTCTTCATTTGCTGCAGAGAGAGAAAAGCAGTAAAGAAAGATCACTTTCTTTTTTAAATGATGTACAGAGGAGGGCAGAAAGGTTTCCCTTCCACCCAAAAAAAATAAAATAAAGAAGGGGTCTCTGCTGTTCTCTCTCTCTCTCTCACACACACACACACACACACACACACACACACACACACACACCCTTCACTTCTCTGTATTGTTGGAGAACACTGTGGACAGCTGGAGAACTAGGGGGATGATGACTCATCTCTTAAGAGCTGAGAAAGGTTCTGAGCCAGTTCTCCAGTCCTGGAAAAAAAGCCCTCCAGCAAAATCAGGTATGATGAAACTTAACAGTCCTGCTATTTCAAAATCAA